AGATGATATATACTATCGAAACTGATCGTACACATGATTAATTACGTAACATCAGAATCCATCAGGGGCTAAACTCGCCATAGTGAAATCGCACTCTTTTGATCTTCACGTTACACCTGATCTTGCATTCTGATTGACCAACTTGGAGAAATTAGTGACGGTAAATATATAAAATTATCTTTTCGGCTTTTTTGAATTTTCCACTTTACGCTTTTACTTTTTATAATTATTTTTACCTTTTACCCTAATAATTTATTCATTTTTATTTTTATTTTTCGTTTTTTTTTACGTAGCATGTATGTGTAGAAGGTTTAGATGGTTTAGATGGTTTTTATACCAAACAAAATGCGTGCAGAAGATTATATGGAACAAATGCTAATACGTATAAGGTAATATATGGTTACTGAATAGTTGTTGGATTGATATGTATTACGTTTTCGACCTGAGCTATAGCTGAAGAACATTCGTTCTTCATCATATAGCTTGGAGAATAACAACCGGTAATTTCGATTGTAATCTAATTAGCAAAACCGATTACTTCTTAACTCTGGTCAAATTTGAAGATCGTTTGACTAAGTTCAAAAATTTTTTTGATTTTGAATTTGGCCAAATAGTTTGTAAATTATCAAAATTTAGAAATTATAAGCAATTAGTTTTGCAGTCTAGATCACAATCAAAATTAACCCTTATAAGTAACAGTTCGACGGAAACTTTGATGCATAAAATCGAGCAACTGGAAGCTTTTTGTAAATAACCTTGCTTGATTGTTCAAATAAGCAATTATTTATTTTATGTTTTTATTTTTTTTATTATAGAAATATAGGCCATTTTACGGACAAGACCAACAAATATCAATCAAGCACTCGTATTACTATCACAGATTATTAATGCAATATATCTATAGCTTTGGAGTAATTCTCTGGAAATTCAAATGGATGACTAGAGATTAGTGATTGTAGTCGATTTGATGTTAGCTAATAAAATCGACGTGGTCAATTAAGTCTCCGATTTTTTTAAAAAATCGACTCAGATTGTTCCCAAGTAGCACCCTCAATGTGATTTGTTATGGTTGCTCAATCATTTCGATTAACTGAACTTAATTGAAGCGATTCTTGGCCGAAAATCATTAGAATTTTAAATTTTAGCCAATCAATGCAACTCTAGGAAAAAAAAATAGTTAGGCTTTAAATAATTATTATGATTTTTCTTTTTTTAGCCAATCAGATCGTCTTATAAATCATAAAGGAAGGCGCTTGAGAGAAACCTTAGTCGATTTCGAAAAGGAGTATGAATACTGGAAAATTTAAAAAATATATATTTAATATATGGGAAATATTAAACGGTGCCCACATGCAATTGGTGCTTTGGATAATTAATTAAGATTTATTATACGTACCGAAGTTTAATTTCTTTAATATTATGATAAGGTTAGAGGTTAGAGGGATATTCTATAGAATAGGTGGGCAAAATAAGAAATAAGCTTCGCTAATGATTAGTAATCATTAATTTTTTATTTGCGGAGTTTGCCCACCTATTCTATAGAACATCCACAAGGAGAAATCTACCTATTACTATACCCCCCTCCAAACAATATACCCCCGGGTATAATTCAAGTTTTTTAACCGGTGGAATGTAACATACCCGGGTCGTCTATATGGCCATTTACGGTACTTTAAACTGTATAAATAAAAAAATATAAAATTAAAAGTCTTATGAAGCTACCCCAGTAAGACATGAAAGATCGACAAATATACACCAATCAGAATGGTCATTGTTAAATAGTACTCTATATATTTGGTGCCCCCATCTATATCTCAAAGTTTGACTATAAAACCCCATTAGGGATAATAAGTAAAAATATTCCTTGCTAAATTTTACTATAAACTGTCTTACCCCTTCTTGTTAGATATAAATTGTGGAGTTTGAATATCAGGACCCCGACATCACGCTAATCAAGAAACCCCGGGTTTCTTACATTCCACTAAATTCTTAACCCTGGTTTAGACCCGGGTATAATAGGAGGTCTACTATCAAAGGGGTATTTTATATGGCCATTTACGGTACTTTTTAAAAAAAAAATAAAACTACGAAAAATAAATAATAAAAAAGTATATAGAAAGTTTTATTAGGGTTTTAGAACTCTACAATTGAAAATAATCAAAATCCCTTTTACAGTATTTTAGATAAGTTAGAAGTCGTTATTATGCTAACTTAAAACAAAAAGGGATTTTGATTATTTTTAATGGTGGAGTCCTACAATCCTAATAAAACTTTCCATATACTTTTGATTTATTTATTCTTTGTAGGTTTATTTTTTTAAAAAGTACTTTAAACTGTATAAATAATATAAAATTAAATTGATTTAAACAGCCAATCATATGAAAGTCTTTCTATGAAGGGTAGCTTGATGATTGATGAGTAACCCCGGATGCCTGATTACTTGCATCTACTTGTAGTTAACGCTAACTAGCAACCTGTGCATTTTTTTTTTTTTTTGAATCAACTTGAATAAAAAATCGACTTATTTGGCTACATACACAGTAAGTTTTATGATCAGCCTATAGAATAAACTAATTATTTATAGTATTTCTCTTATATATTATTACCCTCCTGTATGTAAAAATTATTTTTTATTAGAATGTAAGCAAGTCTAAAGTTATATTATAGATAAGTTAAAGATTTATTTGTGGCATTAAACTTACAAAATTTTTATACATAATTTTATATCTTATTTCTTTAAGCGTTTTTTTCAGTCGCCAGTCAGGTTTAATTCCTCTTCTAGACATATATTTAAGCAATGTTAATGCTTTATTAAAATGACCGTTATTCAAGTAACCTGTGATTAAATGGTAAAAAGTCCATGCATTCGGTTCAACACCGTGTATATTTTCCATTTGTCGCATCAAATCCATCGCTGCATCCATTTCATTCTGCATGGTATATGCTTGTATAACAATATTAAATGTTAACGCTTTAAGCTGCAACGTTTGTGTGATGGGATGATGGAGTAAAAGTCGTTTGGCCTCAGCCATATCTTTGGCAACATTCGCATAACCGGAGATCAAACTATTAAAAATATAAAGATTAGGCTTTTGATCCTTTGTTTCAAGAAGCATTTCAAAGAGCTGACGTGCTCTTCGTATATCATTTAGTCTAATATACAGGTTCAGCACAATAGATATTGTGTATATATTTGGTCGAATTTTAAATAAGAGCATATCATCGAGCAAGAAAATAATTTCCTTTAGATTTATTTTTTGAGAGTGACCCCAAATTAAAAGATTATATGTATTAACATCACCGGTTATTGACCTTAAAGACATATCACGGTATAAGCACTGTGCACTATCCATGTCCTCTAATTTTACAAATCCTCCAATCAAAATGTTGTACAAAGCCAAGGTTGGCTCTGTTCCTAATTTGCACATTTCATCGTAGAGCTGCTTGACTTTGTCACTATTTTGCCCTGTAAACAAGTTTCGTATGATTACTTCAAACGTATAAATGTCTTGACTTTGTCCACTTGTAATTATTTCTTGATAAATCTGTATTAGCTTTGTAGTACTTCCAAGAACTGAGAACCATTCCAAACGATTAAAAAGGGACATCCTTTTCAATACGGTTGTTGAATATTCATGTGCTTCTTTAGGATTTAATTTTTCAATTAGTTTATTTCGTGTTAAAGTATTCAACGTGCTTTCCGATGGATGTAACCCAGCTTCTTGAATCATATCAAGGATTCTAACTGCTTGACTCCAATCTTTGCGCGATATTTGGCGGTTTAACAAGATGTTAAAAGTAACAATATCAGGATGCACACCAACGCGAATCATATCTTCTATTATCTTCCATGCGGTACCTAAATCATCGGATTTGCAGACACTATCTATCAGTCTATTATAAGTCCATACATCTAGATAGTAACCCTTAGATATCATGTCATTATAACATTTTAGCGCATGCTGCACTAAGCTGTGTTCAGAAGCCAATTTATCTATAACTTCACGAAAGATCAACTTGTGTACTTTTACCTTTCTCGTTAATTCACAATAAGCTATGCCAACCTTATATGCTGGAATTCTTTTTAATGCGTTATCTATTTTTGCGGAAGCTACGTCGTCAGAATTTTCAGCTATCTTGGCAAAAAATAAATCATTATAGAATTTAAGAATCAAGTACGGATTCCGAGTTTTCTTAATAACCCTGCGCACGTCTACATGAAAATTTCGCGAGAACTGTACTCCTTTGGATAGCCCTTGTATATAAATAGCTATCGCAGATTCTATACATTTTGTTGTGACATATAACTTGAACCGCCATTGATGTAACTCTGCAGAGTCGATAGGCGCGGGCATAGTTGTTAGACGAAGCCATTTTTGCCATTTTTGCATGATGAAATTAAAGCTGATGGAAGATTTAAAATTTTACAAGTAACATTTTTTTTACGTTACACCATCTTTTACTGGGATCGGAAGTTAAAAAATTTGTGCTCCCCCAAAAATTTTTTTTGTGCATGCAGATTTCTGCAGCATTCATTTTAATCACGTTTTATCAGAAAATTAACCTTTTACATATACGTAGAAAAAAAAAATATCATACAATTAAACTTTCATAAATACAACCTTTCTAAATACATGTTTTATGAAAAATCTTTATAAATACATGATCTTGCTGTGTTTCTATTATATATACACTTATAGATTTTTACCTTTCTAAATGCAATATCTCCCTAAATACAAGATTTTTTAAAATTTACATAGTGTCTGCACAAATTGCATTTAGAGAGAGTTGACTATAGTTATTGTGAACTTCCAACTGATAAATATTATTTTAAGAGTTCTTCAAAACCTTTCATCTCCAAATATACTTAAGTTTTTTTTCTACTTGCTGTTTCCAGAAACTCCTCCGGTTTGGATGCCAAACGCA